ATGCCAACCCAGGTGCCAGGGGTTCATGTTGTTCTCTGTCCTTGGCTTAGGTCCCCAAGCAGATCATGGAGACATGCAGAACCAACTGCCGATAAGTGGGACCCTCTCGGCAGTGACTATGTTAGGAACTTTCTGAGGAGGACTTCTCCAGCCCTGCCGAGAGGAAGACTCTGACTCCTTCCTGTCAGTATAAAAGCTACAGGCCTCTGCTTTCACAAAGAAAACCATATGTGAATCAGACCTACACTGATAAACTCTCCTAGTAAAAAAATACAGGAATTACCATACAACGAAGCTCAAATACTGGCAGAGTTCTTAGAAAGAGACAGAGGTTGGAATCTGTAGATTCCAATATCAGGACTTTTTAGTTTCAATTCTGGGTGACAGTGCGCAAGGCACTCTATTTCTTTTTGTTTTAATTTTTTTACTCATTCTTTCAAAGATTACATAAGTTAATGTCCCTGAAGCACTTTGGTATTGGGCAATTAACATTTTCTAATGTTAGCTATTATTATTTTTAGGTATTTTTATTATGAAGAAAAAGTAACTTTTTCACAAAGAACTCTATTTAATCATAAGAATAATCCATAAGTACAGTCATCACACACATCTCTGACAACCTTGATTTTTAAGTATTTTTAAGTCCACTATGACGGTAAATTTACAGGTCCTTTTCACGTGTTTCTTCATTTGAAACATACTTGCCACATATAAAGATCCCATTTCCTTCATATATATATATATATATATATATATATATATATATATATATAATAGCTTTGGTACTTTCTTTCAATGTCATAGAAGAAAATTATATTTGTGCAGACATAATCTTGACAAAGTACTTAAAAAAAACAACTGCACAATGAAGCATCAGTCCCTTTGGTTGACCCATTTTAACTATAACTCTCTCTCTAAAAAAAAAGACTAGTCAGCAAGGCTCCCACCCTAGAAAGTTCTCCAAAGTTGTAGGAAGGACTCCACCTTGGTAACCACAATGACAAATCTCAAGAGCTGAAGCAGAGCACGGTGACTATGAAGAACTCCTTTCCCCAAGGGCACAAGTTGCCCCAGGATATGGCCAGTATTTGTCTTATTGATCTTTTTGAATTTCAGTGAGGTTTCTCAGTGTTCCAGATGTAATGGGTACCTGACCAGACAGGTAATAGCTGCCCAAGCAAAACCATCAGGTAGTACCCCACCTGTTCCCTCTCCCCACCCTCCTCTCTGCAAAACACCTTCCTCCATCACACTGAGCCACGTTATGCATTCCAATTATTTTAGGAACCACCTGTATAGACTGTGCTTTGGTATTTCGGTATTATCACAGTCACCTAAATTATACATGGATGAGCGAAGATCTGGAATGTTTTCATTAGATCTCCAGAAACACAAGAAGTACATCAAACAACTATTAAAAAGCTTTTTGGGAAAATGCCTTCCACTGCATCTTTCATGCTTAAACTGTCTTTCAATGCCTTAACAAGCTACTAAGTGTCCTACCTACTAACTGAAAACACATCTTTTTGCTGCTTGCAAGAACCAATCTTGGACAGAGAGTATCTTTGGACAGCTCTCTTTCTTTATAATAAATTGAATTGTTCAACAATTACTAATTTCTGTGCTGGTCTGAGATGTTTTTAAAAGATTCCCATGGACTATGAAAAAAACAAATGTTGACATATTAAGTGGCAGGTCGGCTGGTGCAAAAAAAGCAAGTAGTCACCTAAACTGAAAGATATTTAATTTTCTTTGAAATAAATTCACTTTTACCCTGGCTTCACTACTGGAGTCCATGAAAGAGGGGCAGGAACATCAATTTTTCCTGTGGGCACAACCAGCAGATGGGGTGAGGATGTTTTTTATTCTTAGTCCTTTACTCAGGTACCCAAATGGCAGGCTGATGGAGCTAAGCTCTCTCTCTCTCTCTCTCTCTCTCTGGTCTTTTGCACAAACATTTCCCATTGAAGGCTCCACACCTGTAATGAAGTGCCACCACTTGACCTTGCTGGTCTTAGAGCTGAGAGCAAGGTACGCAACATATAAGCCAATTCCTCATTTCAAATATGAGGATTCCAAGGATACAGGTGAGAGGGCTTATAATAGATGAGTTATAAGACAGTGTGCTGTGAGTGAAGACCCAAACCAATGAATGGACAGGTAGACAGGAGGGCAGGACAGGATACCCTAGGAAGGGGTATCAGAAACTGTTCATTCTGTTTCTGACTTCTCAGCAACAGTTTTTTTAGACCTGCATGCATCTCCTCATTTCTCTGGGCTGCTTTTCCTTATCTCGAGTGCTTATCCTGATGGCTCTCTCAGGTGCCATCTAGCTCTCAGGGTCTTTCATTTCATGAAACAAGAGAACTCTGTGACTCTACTCAACTTGGCAATGCCAGAGCCATTTTGCCAAAACTGCCCAGGGCTCATAGCCCCACCATCATAGAGGCGACCAGGGAGGTCTCTAACACAGAGACTAACACCATTCAGTGCCCCGATGTGCATTTAGGGTCCCCCTTACCATGGACAGAGAGCACAGCTCCATCAAAAAGAAGCCCCCACCTTGAATCAAGATGTTCAGATAGGAAGGAGGAAATGTGGAGAAAAACTAGCAGTGATGGGCCCCCAGCTCCAGAGATGAGAGAAAAGTGAGCATGTCCCCAGATGCCCTGGGAGCCTGTAAGCATTTGGCTTTTTTCTATCTACCTGAGGCTATAAACACTTCTGTATATCACACTTCTTATTTCTGCACATTTAATTTTTCCCTATACCCCAAATCCATTTGGCAGGAAAGACTCTCTGAAGTGAATCTCTTGGGTTTGTCAAAGGGCCTTTCTCCTAACTACTGGTTCTTTAAGTTGTAAAACAGAAGGAGCCTTGTACACTGAGTATCCAGGCAGCCCATTACAATCACCAAGACATATTCTTTCCTTCTGACTGCCTCTTCTTAAAAGTCATAGCAGTCACCATTTATTTTCTGAAGCTCAACCACCTCGTCAGTTCTGTGAATCTTGCAGGAGATACTGGCAGTGAGGCCTTTTCTACACCTCAGAGAGTAACGACAGTAGAGGGAGAATTGGGTCCACTGGTTTAAGATTCTTCCTCGGCCAGGCCAGCCTCTGAATTGTCCAAGAAATGGCTGTTACTACTGTTTGTAAAGTTAGTGATTGTACAGTCCCTGAGAGGAGCCATTCTCTGAGTTTAGTCATCCTGCACATCACCTTCCTTATACCTCATAACCACCTTTCCCAAGCCTGAGGCTTGTTATAACATAAGCTTGCTTCCTTTCTGGTCCTCTGTAGAGAGCTACGGCCCATTGGTATTGGTGTTATGTTTAATGGAGGGCTGATCTGGGTCTTTGGTTAGCCATTTCTACTCTGTTAACCCAGGAAGTGCCACAGTGGTTCCTGGGCTGTGTGACAATGATGTAGTCTCGTGTCTTTGGTCTGCTTTCCGCATATAAAGAGGATCATGGGTGTGGAGAAGTCCTAGGCTTCCCTGAGTCTGGGCATGGCCAGAAAGCTTCGCTGGGCTTAATGAGAAAAGGCTGGAGGCCTCCAGGGAGAGAGGGGAGTCAGCCATGGAGCTCACCACTGAGCACAGCAAATGGAGGCAAGGGGACCCTGATGTGGAGTACCATGTCCTGGTTCTGTCCCTGGTGGGCATGGGGGCTCTCTGTGGGATCTACCCACTCAGGGGCACTGGGAAAGTGGAGGCAGAGAAGGGAATGCTTCTAACAGATGATCCAGATGCTGGAGGTTTTGATCAGGACTGCAGTAAAGGGTGCTACTAGCTGACATGATCACTGGATGGCTCTGTAGAAAGCAACATACCAGAGGGCTACCTATCGGCCCACAGGAACCACCACATTGAGAAGGTCATGTGGAGGGAGCTGGGCCCCAGAGGGCTACTGTAGATCCCCACAAAACCACATATTGAGAAGGTCATGTGGAGGGGACTGTGCAGAGCTAAAGACGGGGACCCTCCACTGAAGAGTGCCCTCATTTCCTGAGCTCCTTCTTTATTCCCATAGCATCATTTCATTTGCTCTTACAAGAAAGCTCTCATTATCAACCCCATTTTACAGAAGAGGAAGCTGAGGTTCAGAGAGGTCTTGAAACTTGCTGAAGCCTGAAGTACTCATTCAGCCCCAAAGCCTTTACATTCCCATTCCATTCTGCCTGCTGAGTCCCTGTACAGCAGTTTCTAGTGACAGTAGGAAGCCCCAGTTTTCAATCTTCCAGACCCTGAGAGGAGAGAGCCCTCATTTCCCACTAGGGCCCTGGCATGGTTTGGAGGCATGCGGGTGCTGGGCCCAGGCTGCAGCTGGCCCACTGACCTGGAACTGCAGGCGGCCTCCGCTCCTGGGCCAGGGCGTGGCTCTGGAGAGTGTTGTTCTCGTGTTTACTCAAAGATAGTCATTAAGTCACTGTGAAGACATCTTCTCTGCAGACTAAACAACCCCACTCCTTTTTTAAAAAGCTTTCCCCACAGGAGCTATTTTTTTGGTCCCATCTTTCTATATTTACTGGTTTCCCCCAGGCACTCCTACCCCTCCATTCTCTATTTTAAACAATTCTGTAATGGGATTTTTGACCTGCACCAGAGAAAGAAAAGGAACATATTCATAGTTTTCATCTCCAGCCTTAACAAATTAATAAAAAGCTAACATGGATGGCAATCAGCCCCCTGTGGTCCACTCAGATCCTCAGGCCTTTTTTGGCTGACCTTGTACCCAGCCAATATCCATTCCCTGTTTGTTTCTAATCCTGCTGAACTCCGCTGTGTCTTTCAGAGACTACTCCCTGGTCTCACACAGGCCCAAACAGTTCTCACAGGCACACGAGTCAGGCTAACTTCCTGTGGCGTCTAAGAGGATGTTCAAAAAGAGCCCTGGGCCCAGAGACAACCTTTGAGGAGTAAGAGCGCTGACAGCAAACTTCCTTCTCCCTGCATGGGCCTGACGTCCCCCAGGGAGGAGGTTTCGAGGGGCCACTTACTCCGGGGTTCTCGGGGTCCATCCACGGTGATTTTGATGGCTCTGTGATAGGTGGCAACTTGTGGAGGGTTTGTGAAGACAGTGATGGTCAGAGTGAAGCTCTTCCCTGTTGGGACACAAAATAGGGAAAAATTAAGGAGGGGACAGCTTGAGTCTACCTGCTGGGTAATTAACTGATTGTTAATTTATGCTCTCCACCTCTCAAACAGGAAAGGTGACAGGACTTCAACACGTTACTGGTGTCCCATTGCTGCCTTGAGTCTAGCTTTGCACACCTATACTATTTCACCAGGTATGACACTTCTCTCGCTTATATAAATTTGGCTGAGTCATCAACAAACAACAGGATCAAGAGGGACTTGAACTGATTTTCTTCCAAGTCATGACTCCAGGGAATCCCAAGGCTCAGGCTGGTAGCCACTCATTCCCAGACCCTTGTCTCTACCCCCTCTCCCCATATCGTCCTCCCCAGTTATTTTGTAAAATCAGGGCAAAGAGGAATGAAGAAGCCATACCCATCTTTTTCCTCTCTAATATTGTTTGTATTTCTGCGGAATAGAAAATTTAGAATTTCTAAGTTTGAGGATTTGCTAAATTAGAGTGATTATCTCTGTATTTAAAAAAAACACTAATCGCTGGTTGATTTTAAACATGATTTACAAATACCAGCTGTTATCAGAGGCACTCATAATTGGCCAGAACGATTTGTGGTCAATAAATAGACTTCAGGATATGTAACTGATAGACTGAGATTTAATAAGTACAATTAATAGAAAGTATGTACCTAGGTCTCCATGTAGATGTTTTACAGATACTTATGAAAGATGACCTCATCTTTATTGCATCAGTTTGATAATTTCAGTACATTTCTTCTTGACCAAGTGGCGCTGAGGATGGATTCTGGGTTTGAATTCTGGCTAACTGGCCTTCAGCAAGTCCCTAGATCTAGACCTCTCTATGCCTCAGTATCCTTGCCTGGAGGACGGATATATATGCAACTTTCCCTACCTTACAGACTTTTGCTGGAGATTAAATGAGCTAATACGAGTAAAACCACTAAAATACCACCTGGTATTCAAGGTGTATGTGGGTGTTCATGCACTAAGTCTCTTCCCTTTTTTTTCTCAAAGTTCTATAATGGAATTATAATCTTTGACTAAGTATGCCATTAAGTCCTATATCTATATAGTTTTTTAAGCAACACAATTTCTTCTCTTAACCAGGCAGTATGAAATAAAACTCAAAATAAATGAAAAGAAAGCAAACCATTGCCCATCCACGTGTCTGCTCCAAAAATTACTTATTATTTTAAAACTCCACTTCTCTTCCTTTATCGAGGTAGAAAGAACAGAATATTTTCAATTGTCAGGCATGTGTTAATACAAAAAAAAAGGCCATGGAGAAATGTTCAATGAGAATATAATCTTTGACCATAGCAAGCCAATAATTCCTAAGCATGAAAAACTTCCACCAAACAATCCCCAAGGATTTGTATGCCCATCTCTTAAAGTTTGTGATGAAAAGGACAGAAAGTGACTGACTGATGATGAGGCCTGCTTTGCCTGGTATGGCGTTGTAGTCAAAGTCTCAGATAATCTGTCTAATGGAACAGGTGAGACTATTTTCTAGGGAGTGGTGGTCCATGAGGCCAGAGTACTGGGGCACCAGGAGACCCCACATCTGAAGTCTTCTGCTTCTGGAAGAATCCAGCTGGACCTTGTGGATCTGCTATTTTTGGAAATCCTTTAGATGTTACCAGGTAACACTCCAGATGGGCTCCATCCCTGACAGGGGGCTGATATGGAAGGCTGAGCAGAAGAAGCTTAGCTTGGCCCACCAGGGAGGGCACCTCATTAGCTGCCCATTGCTGTGGTCAGTCTGGCTTTCTAACCACAGGTCAAGGGGTGATGGCAGCCTTAGCCCTGGGGCAGCCATAGCCATGTAGCCAAATGCTATAAAGCAACATTCCCAAGTGCTCATGGTCATCCATCCCTCTCACCAAGAACACGCAAGAGCAAGAATTATACCTTAATCATCACGACTGAATCCTAGAGCTGGCTTCTAGAATCTTCTCCCTGGTAAGGCTGTGCCCCACCCACAGTGCTTCTCCCTCCTCCTAGCCTTGTGGGTTTGGATGGGCTTTGTACCTATCTAGGCCTAACTTCCCAAGGGCAGAAGTTCTGTTCTGCATCCCAAAGTGTCCCTCACACATATGAGAGAAGAGGATGGTGGGAGGGGACTCCAGGGTGGAAGAGGATTGAAATGGAAAACATAAAGTACCTAAGGACACTAGCACTGGATAGTGACATTGCCCAGTCCTTACGGGGCCCCGGGTGTGTGTGTGTGTGCGTGTGTGGGCACAGATGTGTGTACACATACATGTGTATGCATGTCTTTGTGCATGGGGCTGTATGCATGCGTGTGTATATTTGTGGCATGTATGTGTGTATGGGTGTGCATGTATGTGGGGCGGAAAGAGACAGAGAGAAACAGTAGGTTCCTCCAGCAAGAAGGGCTGGATTCCCGTACAAAAGGTTTCACCTCCCTGGGTCCCAGTGTGCCGATCTGCAAAAGGAGGAGGTCGGTAGGATGGCTCCCAGGTCACTGGCAAGCCTGGAATTGTATCTTCTGTGGGTGCCCGAGGGCTTCCTCTGCAACGCCGTATTTGCTTCTTGTGGCTGCCGTGATAAATGACCACAAGGAGAGTGGCTTCAAACAGCAGAAATTTACTCTCACAGTTCTGGAGGCCACATGTCCAAAATCGAAGTACAGGCCAAAACACGCTCCCTCCGGGGCTGGGGAGGGCTTGCCTGCTTCTTTCTGGGTTCTGGCATCAACTGCAGTCCTTGGCACCCCGTAGCCTGCTGTCTCGGCACTGAGATCCCTGTATCCTCCTTCAGGAGGCTGTCTCTTCCTACTTTGTGTCCCTGTCTCCCAAACTCCCTCTCCTCATGAGAACCAGTCATGGACCCAAATCCAGTAGGACCTTGCCTTAATTATACCTGTAAAGTTGCTATTTCTAAGTAAGAATCTATTCTGAGATTCTAGGTGGACTTGGGCTTTTAAGGGACAGTGTTCCACTCAGTACAAATAGAAAACGTCCTAAGAATCCCAATCAAGACATAGCAAGTGTGTTTTACCCTCTGAAACAGTTCTACCCCTATGGTTTTCTCCTACAGCTGTCCCATCCACAATTTCCTAAAGGACAGCCACCAAATGTTTGTGTTCCTAATACTGGTATTTCGAGGCCTATGTAGAACTCACAGCTTTTCAAACACTTTCCTATGTACTCTTTCATTTGGTCTTCACAACAGTCTCATGAAATGAACAACATAGATTTCATCGCTTTTAGTAAGTGGCAAAGCTAAGGCCCAGAGAGGTTCAGTAATCGGCTCAAAGTCACACAGGGCATGCACACATCAGTACGCCAATCTCGGAGCTTTACATTCACTGATCTTTGCATTATTAGTACCGGAGTCCTAAATCTCTACTTGCAAACTCTGTGGCACTAGCACCAGGAATCCAAACTCATGGTACTTTACCCACACTCAGCCACTGTCCCCCGAAAGTGAAAACTACCCTGGTGTCTCTAATGTGTACAGACTGTCTTCACTAGCTGTGAACGTGGGTTAAAGTTCAAAAGCAGTTTCTTCCTAGGCTGAATTTGGGCTTTGGCAACTGAACACTTATGACATCCCCTTGGTTAACCACAGGCTAGCCTGCTTGCAGAGAAACTCAGCCCAAGTGAATATTTGCAAAATCATTCCTCATTATCATAATTCTTATTATTTTATGCTCATCATTTTAGGTGTAGTCACAGGAGTTTCCAAAAAGCCCCAGCCAAAGCCACCAAATAGGGCATTTCCACCACACTACCAGGGTTCACTCTAGGGGAGACAAGCTGGTTGTATCCCTCACAATGGGCTCTGTCTACAATTCAAGTGCACAGACCTCTGTTTATTTTCTTATAGGCAGAAATGATACTCTTTTCTTTTTCCACTGGGCTTCCTTCTTCCAGCCAGACTTGGCACCAACCTTGACCATGGGTTGCAGGTAGCCACCAGGCATATCTGGTGAATGCTCTGCCCTCTACCCCCCCCCCCCCCCCCCATAGCTGCTGAGACACAGCCCAGCTTAGCCAGCACCTGCAGAAGTAGGCTGTGCCCCGGAGCACACGTGTCATTAACCAGATTCCCTCATTAAAATGACCTGTGGGCCTGGTATTTTAAGTACGTGGGTGTGGAAAGCGAAAGACTCTCAAGTGTTTTTCTCAGCAAGCTGCAACCGGAAGAGCAAGCCCGGCATCAGAAGCAGGCACAAGAGAACGGGTCAGCTAAACAACCACACCCCCATCAGCTCTGCAGGGCCAAATGCAGGTGCCAAGGGGCTAGACTAGAGAACTAGAGAGTTCACATTCATGGCCGCAGCCTGGCCGGAGTCCCTGCCCTCCTGGAAGCACCCGCTGGCTGTGGCCCAGCAAGTAGGTCAGCAGAGGCTCGGATACTGCACCAGTGATCCCATGGCTGCCCCATGGGTACCTCTGAGAGGTGACAGCTCTTGCCTCCCAGGGGGCTGGCTGTGGGGTCACAGGTCCCCTGCACGAGGAGTTTCGACGGAAGTCACTGGGAAAGGGGGAGCACTGAGGCCTTCCTTCTGCTGCTCATAGAAACTTGGCCAAAAGCCATCTGCAAAATGGATGGTAATACAGTCCTTGCAGCTCATGGTCTTGTTATGCAGGTAAATGAAATAATATAAAAGCAAAGAATCAAGCAAGCTTTCAGTAAATATCCGTGAAAGTATTAAAGATACAACAAATGTGATTCCATGAAGACCAGAGCTGTGTGAGAGGTCACGTGAGGAAGAGCGGGGGGGGGGGGGTGTGTTTCCGTCTGTGCGCGCACATGCGCGTTTGGATGTGCGTGCGTGGATGTGCGTGCATGTGTAGCAGGTGACAGAGCTGCTACGAGGCCCAAGTTCAACTCGAACTTCAAGTTCACTTCTGCCTCACCAGCTGGTAACCATTGTAAGGCACAACTGTGTCGGCTGATCCGCTAGATAAACAAGCCAGGCCACAGCAACATGTGTCGTCTCCCTTGACGCCAGTTT